GTATATTTTCCACACTAATTCATGGCCTGTGTAAGAACCACACTTGAATCACGTGAGGAGGAAATTCTGAAATCTGTAAAGGATAAGTATATTTGGAAGTAGACAACATGTATAAAGATATGAATTAAAGAGATCCCCTATAATTTTTTAGAAAGGATTAGGACTAGGTGACAAGTAGCTTAACAAGTGAGCTGAACTGTACTACCATATATCATCAATATGAATGGACCAGCTAATGCCAGAAAAGCACAAACACATTTTACAAGCAAGAGCAAGAATGCTGCTAACATTCATACTGCCGTGACGCATGGCTTGGTAAGGAAAGGGAGGCAGAATTTAAGTTCTCACTCACCCCCTTAGCCAGCTGCCGTTCTACGTGGTACACCTGCACAACTTATACCAAAACCCAATCTTCAGGAAAGTGTCAGAGAAACACAGATAATAGAAAAAATAATACACATTTTAAAGCACACATGAAACTCCAAGAGAGCCTTAAAGCAATCAATCTTTTGTAAATCTTAGAAAGAAACTAAGTCAATAGCATCTGAGCAACAGATGAGAATTAAAGAAAAATCTGTTGGCTAATGTAACAGCTTTTGTGTTCTTTGTTGTTGAAAATGTGCATGTAGCAGCAACTCCAATATGCTCACAAACTCAGATGCAAAAGGCTACAGAAAACAGTTGCTATTTTTACACCGAAGCTAAAATCAAACACCACCTTTCAGATCTCGATTGCTAAAATAGTGAAAGGAGACAAAAATCAAGGTGCTAGATGTCTAAAGGATCCAGGACCTGTGATTTCTACTACAGGAAAATACAGAGATGTGGGACAATGACAGGGAAGAGCTGGCACTGTATTATGGGCAATGAAGTACGAACCTGCCAAATCAAATAATCTGAAACAAAATATAAAGTTAAGGTTTAATTTAGTAATGTTCTAGAAAATGGGATATGTGAAGCTCTAACAGTTTATATATTTATAGACTATTCTAGTTAAATCTTTTTTATAGTTTCTTTTCCTTTAACACCTTAAAGAGGAAACTTTTCCTTATAAATTACTATCATATTGTAAAAGTAGTAATAACAATTGTGATAACAACTATATTAGTTTTCTATTGATGCTGTAAGAAGTTACCATAAACTCAGTGGCCTAAACAACACAAATGGGCTAAAATTAGGAGGTTGGCAGGCTGTTCCTTTCTGGAGGCTCTACAGAAAGAATCCATTTCCTTGCCCTTTCCAGCTTCTAGAGGCTGCCCACATTTCTTGGCTGATGGTCCTCTCCCTCTGTCTTCAAAAATTAGGAGGTTGGCAGGCTGTTCCTTTCTGGAGGCTCTACAGAAAGAATCCATTTCCTTGCCTTTCCAGCTTCTAGAGGCTGCCCACATTTCTTGGCTGATGGTCCTCTCCCTCTGTCTTCAAAGCCAGCAGCACTGCATTTCACTGCACCTTATTTCCATAATCACATCTTGCTCTTCCACTTCTGCATTCTCTTGTGATTACATTGGGCCCACTGGTGAAAAACTAGGATAATCACCTTATCTTAAGGTCAGTTGAGCTACAATCTTCATTCCATCTGCAACCTTCATTCTCCTTTGTCATGCAATATAACATATACACAGGTACTGGGGATTGGGACGTGGAAATCCAAATCCACGTTTACTACAATAATCAACATTTACTGAATGTTCATTACTTGCCAGCATGTTACATATAATTAAATAAAATTGTCATAATATGGTAGATTTTATTATTATTCTCATGTTTCAGATGAACAAACTGAGGCAAAAGAGGTTAAACAACTTGTTCAGTGTTACCTAGATGGAAAGTAGAGAATTCAGGATTGAACTCAGAAGTCCACATACAAAGCCTACACTTTTAACCTCTCAACTCCATCACTTCACAAACAAAATTCTCATCTAAATATACTGCAATTGCATGATGTCATGATTATCAGGATACTTAACTCACAGCCCATAAATTCCGGTAATCATAATAATTACCCAGAATAAGGGCAAGTTTAAAATTCAAAATGGCAGATGGACGACAGAGTCTATAGAGGTCATCAGGAAAAATTAACCGATGTCTATTGGGAAATTTGTCCCACTGGCATTCACTAGACTCCAAATCATGGTAAATATAATGTATGGGAGGTAGTAGCTTTGGACTGAGCTCCTGCTCTGGGACAAAACAGATGAGATCAAAGCAGAAAAAATGG